ATAGATGCCTTTTACTGAGAGCCTACATGGTACTGCACTGTACATATATAACCTCTAGTCCTTCTAAAAATCCTGAGACATAAACACTACACATTAATAAACTTTCTTATAGAGATTCATTGATTTGTCTAAGACCATACATCTAGTGCAAAGTGGAACTAGGAATGAAATCAAATCTGTCCTCTATAAAGTCCATTCTCTTCCAGTCTATTACAATGTACACCCCCCAAGACAAATATAATCATAATATCTCTTACTATAGTACTTCCAATGTAGCATGCACTGTATTAGGTTACTTTACATAAATTATCTCCTTCACTCTTCATAATTACCCTAAATGGGGTTAGGTATTATTGACTCCATTTCACAGATGAGAAAACAGATACTTATAAATTCAATAACTTGTCCAAGGCCCCAAAATTCAAGCAAAGTTTCACCTTGCACAACCAAAAGCTCACCTTCACAACTAAATTTAAAATTCATTTTGTTTTCCACAGTATCCAGTAAAATGTTCCTATGTAATTATACATCATACTAAAGTAAAATGAATATTTTTAAGTTAAATGAATATAATGGAATATTATTTAACCTTAAAAATGAACACAATTCTGGCACATGCTACAACACAGAATATCCTTGAAGACATTAAGTGAAATAAGTCAAAAACAAAAAGACTAATACTGTTTGATTCCACTTACATGAGGTACCTAGATTAGTCAAATTCATAGAAAGCAGAATGTTGGTTTCCAGGGGCTAAGGGAGAGGAAAATAGGGAGGTGTTGTTTAATGATTATAGCATTTCAATTTTGCAAGATGAAGAGTTCTGGAGATTGGTTGCACAACAATGTGAATGTACTTAACATTACTGACCTGTACACTTAAAAATAGCTACTATGGTAAATTTTATGCTTTGCTATAATCACTTCCTTACTACAAATTTTAAACATTTTTGTTAAACATTTCATACAAAAAGGTACTATACTTGTTAACAATGGGGAAGGGGGAAGACATGAACAAGAACAAAGTCACACAACTTCTGTTTTGCCAAAAAATCTACATAAGCATGAACTGAACGCCATTTTTCAACTGAGAATTATTATAATTTTAGAAATAAGAATCTCACCAAAAAATAATGGTAAGTAGGAGAATCACTAACCAAAGAAATATAATTTCTGCCTTTAACTATTATTCAAAATTCTTTTTACATTTAAAAAAATATTTAGTCATTGATCTTTTTAAAAAATATATTTTTAAAAAAAAATAATTTTAGAGAGGAAGGAAGGAGAGAGAGAAACATCAATGAGAGAGAATCACTGATGAGCTGCCTCCCACTGGGATCAAGCCCATAACCTGGACATGTGCCCTGACAAGGAATCGATCCCTGACCTCTTGGTTCATGGGCTGACGCTGCTCAATCACTGAGACACACTGGCCAGGCCAAAGTAATTTATGTTTACAAGAGAACCTTATCATTTACCTCCTTCCAGAGATTGAATAAAGTGCCATAGACTCACACCCTATGTTTGTAATTTCTATAGGGTGTTTTTGGAGTTTTTATTGTTGTTTGTTTTAGTTTCAATCAGAAAGTAGATCTCACTCACTTAAGGAGTTTTTATCCCCTCAAACATAGGTCTTGTAGAATGGAGACAAGAAAAAGCAGTGAACAAACCGGACAAAGATGTTATCAGCAATTTATCTACTCAGATTTCTTAAAATCAAAAGTGGGCTAAAAAAAATGCTTAAAACAAAAAAGGCAAGTTAATCGCTTAAATATGTTGTATATACGTTCATATGTTTTGTTGTTAAGATACAATATTTTACACTACCTATAATCATTAATCCCAATCTATGTCTACGGGAAAACATCTCACTTTGTTTTCAAATGCAAAAAAACAAAACACAAACGAACAAAATAGCTTTCCCAATTATGATACCTTTTGAACTAAAATATATTGTTTCATAAATTCAGTCAATTCTGATTATTCACAGTTGAGAACAAGTTTCTGAGGTTACCTTTATTGTCACAATATCTGGTTCAGTCATTTCCCACTGCAAAATATCTATCTACCTGTGAGTACTGGGGAAAGATTACTGAGCCAACTCTGCTTAATTAGGCTAATATGATGTAAATCACCCAGGAAGGGGAAAGCACCTAGACAGCAAGAAACTTTTCTGAGTCTAATAGATAACAAGATGTTCCCTAGAGCTTATTTCCCAGATATAGTGAATGGACCAACACCCCCATGTAATGCTTAGAGGATCATCTAAAAATATTATCCCATGTAATAAAGAACATTATAACCTAATGAACAAAAAGTTATCCCATTACATCCAGAAATTAAGTGCCAGCTATATTCAAACCTGTCATAGGCAATTGATATCATTGGTGTGATCAATAAGACAACCAAATATTGGCACTAGTTTCTCAAATCTATTATATGTATTGGAAACCAGTTTCCCAAATAATTCTCAAAACTATTAAAACAAAACAAAACAGCCGAAACCGGTTTGGCTCAGTGGATAGAGCGTCGGCCTGCGGACTGAAAGGTCCCAGGCTCGATTCCGGTCAAGGGCATGTACCTGGGTTGTGCGCATATCCCCACTGGGAGATGTGCGGGAGGCAGCTGATCGATGTTTCTCTGTCATCAATGTTACTAACTCTCTATCTCTCCCTTCCACTCTGTAAAAAATCAATAAAATATATTTAGCAAAAAAAAGTACCCAAGTAGACTTTAAACTAAATAACTAGCTTTTTCTCAAAAAAAAAAAAAAAACAACAACCCCAACTACAAATCTTACTTTGTATCTTATTTATAAGTTCTTGTCTCTACTTCTGATAATAGCAGTATTCTTCTTGTTGATACAAAAGAAAATTCAAAATGTATTTCACTTCTCCCTGTTTTAGGCATCTTACTTTCAGTATCAGACTCTATTAGACAAGAAGAGCACACAAAATTCTTATTGGACTCCTACACCATAATTTCCAGTAAATACTCCTCTTTTTCATATACCCATGTTATTTATATTCTTTATCTTAAAAGTAATATAGCCCTGGCCAGGTGGCTCAGTTGGTTGGAGCATCAACTGTACACTAAAGGTTGTGGGTTCGATTCTTGGTCAGGGCACATACCTAAGTTTCAGGTTCAATCCCAGGTCTGGGCTCATATGGGAAGCAACTAATAGATGTTTCTCTCTTTCTCTCTCCCTCTCTCTCCCTCCCTTCCTCTCTGTCTAAAATCAATAAAAACATATCCTGGGGTGAGGATTTTTTTTAAAAAAAGTAAGCCCTCGCTAGTTTGGCTCAGTGGATAGAACATCGGCCTGCAGACTGATGGTTCTGGGTTCGATTCCAGTCAAGGGCATATGCCTGGGTTGCAGGCTCGGTGCCTAGTGGGGAGCATGCAGGAGGCAGCTGATCAATGATTCTCTGTCATGATGTTTCTATCTCTCCCTCTCCCTTCCTCTCTGAAATAAAAATATATTTTCACAAAGAAAAAGAAAAAAGAAGTTTTCTGAACAAAAACAAAAACTAATATAAACTGTGGCAGATTATATTTTCCAAAGATGGCTACAATGGCAGATTCCATCCATAGCATTTCTTATAATGTGATGTTCATACTCCTCTCTTCAAGTGGTGGGATCTATGTCTACCTTCCTCCTCTGGACCTGGGTCAACCTTTATGACTACCTCAACCCATAGAAGAGAGCAGAGAAACACTAGGTGACTTTCAAAACTAAGTCAAATATGCCATGCAAATTCGCCTTGCTCTTTTCTCTGGGAACCCAGCCACCATGCTGTGAGGAAATCAATCAGCCAAAAGGAGAGGTCATGTGTAGGTGTTCTGGCTGACAGCCCAGGCTGAGGTCCGTGCCAACAGCCAGCATTAACCACCAGACACTTGAGTGAGCAAAACTTCAAATGATTCCAGCTCCCAGCCCTTGAGCCACCCCTACCCTTCCAGCTACTCCACCTCACACCACATGTTGACAGAGACAAGCTGTCCCACCTGGTGAGCCTTGCACAAATAGCAGATACATGAGCAAAACAGATAACTGGCATGTTTTAAACCACTAAGTTGGGGTGGTTTGTTATGCAACAATAGATAACTAACATGTGCTTATGAATACACTTTGGAGAATGCATAGAGACTGTACAGTTTGGGTAATATTATATTTAAAATCCTTTTTCTTTAAATATTAATTTGTATTGTATGTAACATTATATTTGAAATCATTTTTTTAAATATTAATGTTTACTGCATGTAACTTTATTATACTTAAAATCGTTTTTCTTGAAATATTAATGTTTATTGCATGTAAAAAAAAAGAAAATGCATAAAAGAGAAAGAAAATTTTAATTACTCTAAGTTTCACCATTGCTTTTTTAAAAAAATATATTTTTATTGAGTTTATTTATTTCAGACAGGAAGGGAGAGGGAGAGAGAGAGAAGCATCAATGATGAGAGAGAATCATTGAATAGCTGCCTCCTGCACGCCCCACACTGGGGATCGAGCCCACAACCGAGGCATATGCCCTGACTGGGAATCGAACTCATGACCTCCAGGTTCATAGGTCAACACTCAACCACTGAGCCACACCGGCCGGTCAGTTTCACTACTGTTAACATTTTGACATGTATTTTACAATCAAGAAAAGGTTTTGCTCCACCCAACTAAGATTCCAACTGCTTTGTTTTTACCAAGATGAAGGGTTAAATTTTTAAAGATGGTCAAATGTTTGCATCTAACAAGAAAAAGAAAGGAAGAACATTAGCACCCATTCTACTTTTCTTACCCTTACTCTCTCTTTCACTTACTTGTCCTAAGTCAGGTGTCTGAGGATGGCTGGTCCACCAATATTCCAATCTCTGGATATGGATCAAGATCTTTGGTTGCAAGAACAGAGGCACTGGTCCTCTTCCCTAGAAGTTGATCATGCCCAAATCTGAAATTTTCAAAGAAAGAAAATGCTTAACTTAGACATCTCCTTTCAATCACTTATAATTCCATCACTACAACTAAATAGAGGCTGATAGAGTGGGATTACATGGAAGTAAGTGAATGCACAGGTTTCACTAAAAATGGAGTTGTTGATGTGGATTCAACTTCCAGCTCTACTTCTTACTAGCTATTTGAACTTTGTTAAAGCACAAATTATCTGTGCCTAAGTCTCATCATGTGATGAAGATTAAGAGGACATGATCAAAACTTTGAGCTGGAAATCAGAAGACCTAGTTCTAAACTCACTTATCATTCTGCATTGCTTGTTAAGAACTTTGATATTTCCCTGGGCTCAGAAACGTCATCTCTGAAAGAAGGTTGCATAAAATAATGGTTTCTGAAATCTAATCCTTGAATAGGTGCCAGCCATGACCAAACATGGGTGTAAAGTTACAAATGTGCTTACTATGAGATTGTCCCTCATACTCTTTTGGTGTTAAAATGAGATGATGTGACAGACAGTAGCTGTTTTTGTTTTTTGTTTTTTGTTTGTTTTAATATATTTTTACTGACTTCAAAGAGGAAGGGAGAGGGGGAGAGAGAGATGGAGAAAGAGAAAGAGAGAAACATCAATGATGACAGAGAATCATTGACCAGCTGCCTCCTGCATGCCCCCCACTGGGGATCGAGCCAGGCATGTGCCCTGGACTGGAATCAAACCTGGGACCCTTCAGTCTGCAGGCCGACACTCTATCCACCGAGCCAAACCAGCTAGGGCTGTGTGATCTTACCTTTTGGACCTTGATCTAGTAACATGGCTTTATGATTCAGGTCTGTTACCTGTCCTGATATATCTTTAATTGTCTTAATTATATCTTTTTGATATACTAAAAACTGGTTTAATTTGCATTCAGATGGTAAATTAAAACAGTTTGAACCACTTTCTAAAATCAATTGGGTCGTTTTTTTTAATGTGGAAAAGATGAAGGAAGAAAACTTAAAGGTCAATATAACTGAAAGGTCCAGATAATAAGATGGACCGGATGCCCAGCCCGGTTTGGCTCAGTGGATAGAGCATCGGCCTGCGGACTCAAGGGTCCCAGGTTCGATTCCGGTCAAGGGCATATACCTTGGTTGCGGGCATATCCTCAGTATTTGTCCATGATTACATTTCACATATTTCTTCCTCCATTACAGCACAATAAATTAAAAAATCTCCTTATCATATTGTAACTATTTTCAAGGAAACCAGTATTTCAATGATACTAAAACATGGAGCCATAATAAATTATGCAGGATGTATTTTCATTGTTCGTGACCCACAGGTTGAGAATCGCTGCACTAGAGCAACAAATCAAAGACAACTTACAAACAACATTTAAGACTTATGCAAACCTAAAAACAAAGAAATCTGACACACTTTCCACAGAAAATATGCCTATGGAAAATATTATACTATTTATTTTTAAAAAACAGCATTCACTTCAACTTTTTAAAACTAGAATTGCTATGTTAGAGTAAGTACAAAGAGAGGAGGAAATCTTCTCAATTACAAATTAGTCTTCCTAGTCAACATTTAACTTTTAAGTTTTATCTGAGTATTTACTTTCATTGTATCTGATGATTCTTGTCTCCTTCACCTCCTACCAACTTTTCAAAGACTTCAGACCCATCTACCAGCCAAGTTCAATTCTGGATGCCATTCAAAAAATAGGTTTTTATACCCTACCCTCTCTTAGTATATAAATGAACATTAACAGCTCTTATAATTCCATTTCACCAAGGCCAAGTGTGATGTACTGCTTCACAACTCCAAACCTGGATGCATGACTCCAAATTACTCTTCTCAAAATGGGAGCACTCATTCCTTGTTACTCATAAAGTGTGGTTCACAAACTGGTAGCATAGGTATCATCTGGGAGCTTGTAAGAAATACAAAATTTCAGGCCTTATCTTAGACCTACTGAATAAGAATTTGAATTTTAATAAGCTCCTCAGGTGATTCACACACAACAAAAATTTTGAGAAGCACTGTCCTATCTAGTTCACTCATTCAGGCTCCCCTCCTCCTACTTTACAGTTCCTCCTTACCAATTTGGCATTTAAGAAATAAGAACCTTTTTCTTTTAGACATATTAATAACTACCAAAATGTAATGAGGGTTCTTTTCTTTTTTTTGAAGTCCACTTTATGTACAAAAACTATGAGTAGAAACAAAAGCAAATTAAACATTATCACATATGTTTACACCACTATCTAGGTTCTTCATATCAACGTTACTATTCAAACAATAGAAAGCAGGTGGCAATTTAGGGATCAGGGCTAAACCGGCAGTCGGACATCCCCTAAGAGGTCCCAGATTGGAGAGGGTGCAGGACAGGCTGAGGGACAGCCCCCTAACCCCCGCACGAATTTCATGCACCAGGCCTCTAGACCTTTAAATAAGATTACACAGTTTCTTGGAAGTATGCCCTCACCTTTCCCATACCTCTCTTCTTTTCCCCAGAAGCATTACCTGTGCCTTTCTCCTAAACTCTAAGGAGTTTGCTCCTTCTTTTGCTTCTGCAACTTGTTTCCTGAGCCTACACAGCTCATCTGGCTCACTTCTACTACCTCTGTAATGTTCTAAATAAACTTTCTCTTATAATTGAAAAGAAAAAGGGTACACAGTTTCTTCACAACCTTCTTTTCATAAAAGACTATAAGCTCCATGAAGCCAGGCACCTCATTGTATCTTTAAGACCAAATCAGTGCCAGGCAAATATTTGTAGAGGGAACAAAATAGATACCAGATGATCCCTAAACTCCTCCAACTCTTCACAAGGCAGATTCACTATTGAGATCATAAGACTCAATACTTTTTTTATCTTATCATTATATCATTATTAATATTATATTTTAGGTGAAATGACAATGACACTTCCTCTACAAATACATTATCATTCAAGTAGTTAATAAACTCAACTATCCAGAAGAGCTATGCACTCAGAGCTTAAGGTAGCCTAAAATATACACAGAGCTGGAAAGAATCCTATATAATAAAGATGGTTAGTATGCAAATTAACCATCGCTCTAACACACAAGATGGCCGCCCCTATGTGGACACAAGATGGCCAGCAGGGGAGGGCAGTTGTGGGTGACCAGGCTGGCAGGGGAGGGCAGTTAGGGGTGAATAGGCCAGCAGGGGAGGGCAGTTAGGGGCAACCAGGCTGGCAGGCAGAAGCAGTTAGGAGCAATCAGGCAGGCAGGCAGGCGAGCGGTTGGGAGCCAGCAGTCCTAGATTGTGTGAAGGATCCCAGATTGGAGGGGGTGCAGGCGGGCTGAGGGACACACCCCACTCCCCCATGCACAAATTTCATGCACTGGGACTCTAATCTGTACATAAAAAATTACAGATTATATGCTATGTTTAATTTCTTCAAAACCAGAAGAAATAAGTGCTTTTAATCCTTAGCTCAAGTTGAAATAGAGGAAAGAAACAAGAAGTAAAGTACAGAAAAGACAAAAAAATTAGAGACACATAGCAGCAGAACAGAGTATTAAAAGCCATCAAAGGTTTTAAAGAATGTGATTTTGGGACTAACAAAAGCAAAAGCGGCTACAAAGGCAAAGAGCAGAATACAAATGGAAGCAGCATCCACTTCAATAACCTCTAGTGATGACAGATAATGCAAGGAATTTTTAGAGCAAGTAAATCCCAGAATATCTCATGAGGTTATTATATCATTTCTCTCATCTACCATATTCTACATATCTAAATTAACAAGAAACAAGGAAATACATTCCTAACCCTTAGAGATCAATAAAAAGCAAATTAGGCTCAATATGTGCTTTGTTTTCTGTGACAAGTATTGGTTTAACAAAAGTTTTAATTGATCTCTATGAGATTTTCATTTTTTTAAAAGGTTAAAATACAATTCTGATTCCTCACCTACCTTCTACACCTAATTTTCCTAACTACTTAGAATAATAAATTTAATCAGAAACACAGACAATAGTGTGGGGAAGACCTGGGGTAGGGTGGGGTGTAGGTGGAGGGGGGTGGAGAAAATACAAAAAAAAATTAGTCAAAAATATAGATGTAATCAGGTCATACAGAGATTTCCATTTCTAAAAAACATTTTCTAGAAATCTCTCAATATGCACAAAAAATATTAAAGTTAAATCAGGATGGGGCAAGGCTGCCATCAATAGACCAAAATAGAAATTGTAAAGGACTACTAAAACTGGATATAAAATGTAAAACATCTACACTGCAAAAGACATTATGAAGAAAAGTTAAGAGACAAATGATAAGTTGGAAAAAATATCTACAATATAAAACAAAGATTTAATATCCTTAGTACATAAGGAACTTTACAAATTAATAATACATAAGTAGACAATTGACAAGAGAAGAAATAAAATCATAAGCACAAGTTGTTCCACTTCACTAGTAGTAACCAAAGAGATACAAATTAATATCATTTCAGATTGACAAATACTAAAAAGATCAATAAATCCAGTGTTTTATAAGGTATAGGGAATCTAGCACTCTGATTTACTATTTTTTAAAGTATTTTTTTATTGATTTCAGAGAGGAAGGGAGAGGGAGAGAGAGACAGAAACATCAACGATAAAGAGAATCATTGATCTGCTGCCTCCTGCACTCCCCTGACTAGGGATAGAGCTCTGAAACCCAGACATATGCCCTAGCCAGAATCGAATTGTGACCTCCTGGTTTGTAGGTCAATGCTCAACCACAGAGCAACATTGGCTGGGCAAGGGGAGGCAAACTT